AGCTGTCAGAGGCCGTACAGGAAGTGAAGAGGGACGGACACACCTGTGTGATGCTGGGGGGGGACCACAGGTGAGGGTTAGAGACACACCCGTGTGATGCTGGGGGGGACCACAGGTGAGGGTTAGAGACACACCTGCAGGGATAGGACCTCTGGTTCTGGAAATATCAAAACATTTTGTGGAATATTTCTATTATTATTTCAAAATATTCCCAAAAAGATCTGATTATATTTAACGAGTTTTCTTTCGTAATATCCTATAACAGTTTTTATTGTAATATTCTTTATTTTGTTATATTAAAATATATAACAGGCGTTAAACTCAAATCCGGCCTGCAAGAGCTCTGAAAGAATATAAAACGTTTATTATACGTTACAGAAGCACGTTGCCCATAAACTACATGTCCCACAATGCATCTCGTTTTGTGACACTGAGGAGACGTGCAATCATTTGCCCCAGACTTCTGATTTCAGACGAAGTTAATTATGAAGTTATTACCCTATCTGATAATAATCCAATGCAGAGGAAATCATCTGATATACAACATTATTTTATATATATTAGATATTTATATATGTGTATTTGTATATGTGTATTTGTATATGGTTTTAAAGTTACAAGTTGTGCTTTTATTCATGTCTTAATGTGTGCATATGTATACATGTCAGTTGATTGTATATGTATAGGTATATACATATTTGTATATACATTTGTATTTGTGTATTCTGGATTGTGGGAAACAGTATTTCGATCTCTCTGTACACACAAACTGAAAGATTGACAATACAGTAGGCCTGACAGCCGGCCCTTTGAGCCTAATGCTGATGTGTCCTGAGAGGACATTGAGTTTGACCCTCTGATCTGAAGAGTCCTCATTCTTCTCTCAGCCTGGCGATCGGCTCCATTCACGGCCACGCGGCGGCGGTGGGAGATCTGAGCGTCCTGTGGGTGGACGCTCACGCCGACATCAACACGCCGCTGAGTTCAGGGACCGGAAACATCCACGGACAGCCCATGTCCTACCTGCTGCACGAACTGCAGGATCAGGTGGTCTATCCTCAGGGTCACCGAGCGGGGAGAGCACGATGACACCATAACATTACTGCACGACACCATGAGATAATATGCTTCAGTTTATGATACGTTCCCAGGGGACACCATGCAATGTGATTCTATAACACACGATACGATAGGACTCAGATCTCGTACTTGAGTAAAAGTACTTTTGACTTTTCTCTGACCGCAGAGAGTTTTGTCTCCAGATCCCCGTGCAGCCGAGCTTCTCCTGGATCCGACCGTGTGTTTCTGCTAAAGACGTCGTGTACATCGGGCTGAGGGACCTGGATCCAGCAGAACAGTGAGCACACACACACACACACACACACACACACACACACACACACACACACACACACACACACACACACACACACACACACACACACACACACACACACACACACACACACACACACACACACACACACACACACACACACACACACACACACACACACACACACACACACACCAATATTTTCCAATATTTGAATGGTGTTTATTTAGAACACGTGTTAATATGTGTGTTAGCTACCTGCTGAAGCGGCTGGGGGTGAAGGTGTTCTCCATGACGGAGGTGGACCAGCTGGGCGTGGCTAGAGTGATGGAGGAGACGTGCGACTACCTCTCTGACAAGTAACGCTGCATTGTATCTGATAACTCCGCCTAGCAACCGTGTAGTTTCATGTCTCTTCATACTGGTGTTACGTCCCCTCTGAGGTCAGGGGACGTAGCAACAGCCAGTAACCGAGCGAGTCAGAGTGAACGTTAACAAACATGTTTATCCCTTTTAAACAAAGAATACTGCCAACAAATGTTCCTCAAGTGAGGAGGAGGAGAAGGAGGAGGAGGAGGAGGAGGAGACAAAGGAGATTGTGCCAAACAAAATAAATCAAAATAACAAAAACAGGCCTATCTCTATCTCTCTTATAAGTCTGCAACTCAGATTTAAGAGTCAGCTGTTGGACGCCAAACCTCTTAATTCAAATAAACTGCTTTATAAAATGTTCCTTAGGAAGACTGACAAACAACATCTTCAGAAAACTGGATTTAATCAAGTTTCAAACAACAAAAACGTCTTTTTACAGATGTTGTGTAACGCTACGGCGACGCTAAGGCTAAGCTTTGGCTACGGCTATGCTACGGCTAAAGCTACGCTAAGGCTAAGCTTTGGCTACGGCTATGCTACGGCTAAAGCTACGCTAAGGCTAAGCTTCGGCTACGGCTATGCTACGGCTATGCTACGGCTAAAGCTAGGCTAAGGCAACCTTCGGCTAAGGCTATGCTATGGCCATGCTACGGCTAAGCTACAGCTAAGCTACAGCTAAGCTACACTGCTTATGGCTAACTGCTAACAGCTAATGTTTAAAATATGCAAATGACTTAGGGGTTTTCTGTTTCTGCCTTTCATGTCGTTGTGTATTTTGGTTGATTTTTTTCATTGCTATTACTGTGAGGGTCTTTTAATGGTTATTATCATTATTGTTTTGTCCTCTTTTTTTGTATAGCACCTGCATTCGTACTCTGTATCTTCTCTTGTTGTCGTCACGTGTGGAGAAAACCAATAAATCGAGAAAAAATAAAAAGGTGTGAAGTCTCCCAGACGGAGGAAAGGAATCTGATCATTAAATGTGTTTCTGCTCAGAGTGAAGAAACCGATCCACCTGAGCTACGACGTGGACGCCATCGACCCGTCGGTGACGCCGGCGACCGGGACCCCGGTGGCGGGGGGGCTGACGTACCGGGAGGGGGTCTACATCGCAGAGCACATCGCACAGACCGGTAACTTTCATACACTTGGTTTGATAAGCTTTTTCAAAATAGATTTTTTTAAAAGGGCGTTTCTTTTTTTCTTTTTTTTATGTTCTACTATTTCAACAATTACACATTGTATCCATCCAAAAAACGGACAAAATGAGTAGAAGTGGGAGGGCAGAAAGCAGAGCTCATACAGACCTATCGTTAGTCATCCAGTTGCAGGATAACATTAAAACAGATAATTCCGTAATTAGATACTCAAAAAAGTTTGTGGGAAAAAAGCTAAATATCATCAGATTTTGTGAAAAAACTATGATGTACAGAAAGCGTTGGACCTCAACATCCAGGGAATAGAAAATAAAAATGTCTCAGGTGGAAAAACTCCATACATTTGGAAACATATTTTAAATAAGCTCGAGTGGAAATTCAGACATTTCTACAAAAAAGCTTATAGATAGAATCAGAGGGTGGACCCCTCTTTAATGGTCAGAGCACACAGCACATGCAGTGACATGTGTTCTCTGCATTTAACCCATCTTAGTACCAGGTGCCTTGCTCAAGGGCACCACGGCAGGGCAGGAGGTGGACTGGGACCTCTCCAAGTAGCAGTCCACACTCCATATTTAGGTCTGTGCGGGGACTTGAACCGGCGACCCTACAGCACACAGTCCAAGCCCCTACTGACTGAGCGCACACACACACACACACACACACACACACACACACACACACACACACACACACACACACACACACACACACACACACACACACACTGATGTAAGGAACTAAAGGACCAAAGGAGATTAGAAAAACTGAGATGAAAAAATTAAATAAAAGGTTATAAACCGTATTTGTATAAAACGTGGTATCATTGTGTGTCCTGTGGCAGGCCTGCTGTCAGCGGTGGACCTGGTGGAGGTGAACCCCCTGCTGTGCAGCGAGGCGGGGGTCAGCTCCACCGTCAGCACAGCCATCACGCTGCTGCTCGCCTGCTTCGGACGCCTGCGCCAGGGAGCCCACCCCCCCGCCTACCGCCTGCCCGAGCCCTGACGCCCGCTTCTCCCACTGCACCTGAACGCCTCGCACCAACCTCAGAGCTGCTAGCACCAAGGACGGGGGTGTTTTTTGATTAAAAACACATGGAATGATATATACTTTATAGATTTATTTAATGTATTTGTTTTGATTATTTAATATATTAACTTTCAGGAAAGAGTAACCGAGAATTATATCTGAATTGAATCCATAAATATGATTAAAGTGTTAAATGAAGGAAGATACAACATGGATATTTTTAAGTTAGATTTTAATTTTAATATTGATTTTGTTTCCTTACGTTTGGGAATCTTTCCTGTAAAATAAACCGCTTTAATCTGATTGTTTTCTCAGAATATGAAACCCTACTGGGCTCAAATGAAGTCCCGTGGGCTTTGAACAGTGAAATAAGGGAAATAACAGATTAAATATCCAGTATTTAGTTTGACTTATAATAACTTTAAAATCAAACGAATGCAAAACGTATATTCATATTTAAGATATTTAAGAAACACTTTTTTGTGTCTTTTATATTTGAAGTAAATCCTGTCTTTCACCATCGATTAAAACCTGCACTTTTCAGACGAGGATGATCTTTGAGCCGAAACGTCTGAGAGAGATTTCAAAACATCTCGTGCTGCGTTCATGTGACAACTGTGCAAATTCAGATTAGGATGTGGCCTTGAGGGGGTGTGTGTTTAAATAAAATACATCCTGAGGAGTGTGTGCTTTTCAATGTCATCCGTTCGTCAGTGAATGACCTGAAGGCTGACACACACACACACACACACACACACACACACACACACACACACACACACACACACATTTTTAACAGACTTTTTTTTGTTAAAGGCATTAAGACAACGTTTTATTTATTTATAAAGTTATATATTTCTCAGGATATTCTTTTATTCTTTGAGGAAAAGTGTTCTTTTGGTTTGTTTGTAGTATTTCAGATGTTCTGTGAAACCCAAACAGAAGAATTCAGAAAGAATTGACTTGAAAAAAGAAAACACCTTCTTTCTCTATGATTTTAATATTTAAATATAAAATAGCCATTTAAAGAGTTCTCGTTTCACCCTCTGTCTGAAACCAGAGCCCAGGGTCGTTTATGAGAAAAAAAAGAAAACAAGTTGATATGAGAAAGAAGTTATAAGATGTGAAAGAAGTCAATATTCTGAACAGAAAGTCGACATCGATCCCGAACACGAGAGGACGTAATAATCTGCGACGTCTATATTCCGGTTTTTTCATAATGTATTGAATCACCTTCAGTCTGTGGAACAATTCTCCTCAGTAATATCAGTAATATTGATTTATTGATTTATATATATTTACAGTCTCTCAGATCAACACAAACAAACATCTTCAGAAACAGGAAGCAGTTCAGGCTCGCTTTGAAATGCAGGAAAACTCAGCTGTGTATTTAGATTTTATTCTTTAAATAAATCAATGAAACAGTGGCCGCCCTAATTCATGAATTGTTTTATGTTCTGTGTATAACAAGCTGTTGATTTTCAGAATAAAAGCCCTTTCAGTGGCTGTATTTCAGAGTAAAAGCACAGAGTCATGGATGTTATTCTCCTCTCGCTCTGAGACCCAGGATAATGTTAACAATGTCAGGTGACCCCCAAATCAGCTGTAGCTGTATCCGGGCAGGTGACCCCCCCTCAGCTGTAGCT